TGTGCTGTCGCGCAATCACTGAACAGCAACGGTACCGTTACTAACGTGTGTTACTTTTCTATGCACTGCGACTGTATCGATGCTAAGTGCGACAGCATCGCTACAAAAAGCAGCTTGTGAGCGAGCAGCCTTATTTAGACAACCATCAACCTTTTCTCTGTTAACACTTGAATGTATATCTTATTGCCCTTACTTTTAAAGTCATTTCAAGGCTACATAACTCAGTCTTTAGCTATTGTTTTCGGTACAAAATTGTTACTCCGTAGGTAAAATTACTCAATAGTTTTATAGTATTCGTTAAAAGTTTGCCTGCCTCGTTGGCCGAGTGGTCGCAAGTGCGACTGCCGGGCAAGGGGTCTCGGGTTCGATTCCTGGGTCAGGCGAAGTATTACTGGGTTTAAAAAAAAATCTCAATAGTAGCACGGAGTCTTAAATTGTGCCCCGGTATATGGCAATAGGCTCACCCCCTATTATATGTGACTCATAACATAAATAGTGAAAAGTGGCATAATGTGCACCTCTGCCTACCCCTTCGGGGATAAAAGGCGTGATGTTATGTTAAGTTATATTTAAATGTCTTCGAGAATGGTAGTCAAAGTAACAAACTCATCCATTTTATGTTTCAAAAGTATATGCTAAGGATATTAATATTGTGAAAGAAATGAATTTTGGAAAGAAGTGGCAATATACTCACTCCCTGAGCACATTTCTCATGCCCGAGGTATTTAATATAATTCATCATCTGATTATTTTGTTTTAATTGAAAATGGTAATACTACTTTACTGATTCCGGGAATCGATACCCTTGCTCGGTATCCACGTTTACGATGAATCAACGAAGGAGGTAGTCGTATTTTTACCTGACTAACTATTCCCCACGGCTTCACATATATTTGACGTTATAGTATACGATGTCACGTATCACACTTTACGATAGCTGAGCACGTGAATTACGTGACTTTTGTTACGGAGTATCGTAGCTATAAGTGTATAACTTTCCAAGAACTAGGCTTTAGCTCGTATACAAATATTTTCGATTCAGAGGCGACGCGTTCGGCGCTGTGATTGGCCGGTGCCAATGAACCAACCAATCAAAGCGCCGAACGCGTTCTCGTTTCGAATACTTTTACCGTAAAACTAAATTGTAGATAATTGTCAACAAAAACATAAAAATAACATTATTTTTATTGCTGTAGATATTTTTTTAATTTTTAAATGTGTATGTATTCCACTCCCTATTACATGGGACTCATAACATAAATAGTGAAATATGAGTGTTACATTGTACAGTGGCATTAAGTTCCGTATTGTGCACCTCTACCTACCCTTTCGGGAATAAAAAAGCGTGATGTTATGTATGGATACCAGAAAAAATTCTATACTCGAGCTATTACAACGTTTCCGGTTTGTATCAAAATTCAGCCTTTACAGGTCTAACGCCAATCGATACACCAATGGTTTTATTTCAAAATTTCTGTATCAATCTCGATTTATGACTGTTTAAACTCATAAATACACGCTTAAATATTTGCAACTAGAAATAAACCCTAATTTTCCTCAACCATATTATTCTAGCCTCGAAAATGGTACCTACATATACATGAACACTACAGGTCCCAACAGAGTCAAATAAATAAGAACCCTATTTTTAGACAGTCTCGGTACAAAACCCGTTGACCAAATATAAACGTGATTGACACTGCGACACGGACATAGTAATTATCCTTGGGTATTCCACAGAGAGGAATAAAAAGGAAATGTGATGCAATGACGGTAAAGTTTATTTTTGAATGACTGTCTAGTTTTGTTTATCAAGCGATTTGAAAGAATGCGACTAATTCCAGTGCGATGACATTCATGAGAAGTATACCTGTTACCTATCTTCCTAACAAAATAGGCTAGGTACTGCAATGCATTAAAGTCATAGTTATATTAGCTATTTCTTATAGTCTAAGATCCGGCTGCAGAATCAGTGTACCCATCGAGTGTTTGCTGAAAACCAAATTTTTACACATATTCATGATTAGGAGAATTAATATCCACCAGGTTGCCTATCAAAATGTGGCCGCTAGTATTTTTAATTAAATTATTAATAATTCATAATCCGTAAGAAATTTCATTGACTTTTTTTTTCAATGAAATGTCGTCTACTTTACGGCAACATCTATAAAGACTCTGAAAAATTATGGTTGCCGTTGCGCACCTGGCCGCACCTCTTCGCAGCCAGGTATACACAGGTATGAATTTGTTACATTTATACACCCACAACGTACATTTATAATTTATATATCAAATTAAAGCAATTTTTTTTCTGTATATTATTATATACGGTTGCTTAATTAAATCTGGCCGCCAATAAGGGTTGCTGGCTAATAAATATAGTAAATATTAAAAGTAGAGTGAAAGAGAGCTAGCGCGTAACACCACTAGTCAGACGAGGATAGCGATTGCCAGCTGTCGGACGGTTTAAAGCCATTGCGCATGCGTCAGATTTAACATTTTACGTGCCTTATGTATGAACTCCCAAAGTGCCAAAGTGTAAATGCCGCAAGATTTTTATTATTCAACAAAATGTACGCTTCAAAAGGAAGTAGTGAGAAATTTATGAGAAGAATTAAAGGTTTTGACTCAACGCACATTCCACCATGCTGGAAATCTTTAAAGGAAAAATTATTGCGAACCATCTTTGTTAATTCGATGTGGTTAAATGCTACTGAGCGGGATTGCATCAAGTTCAGCGCGGAAAATAATGGCTGGCTGCTGTTAGATGGTTTTTTAAAACCAACATGGTTCCTGGGAGATCCAACTCCAGCGCAAGTTGAGAATGTGCTGTGTGATTCCACGAACAAGCCTTCCGATAATAACGACGATACCGATATTTCTGATGAAAGTGATAGCTGCGATGATAGTGTGACTGAGAGCTCCGATGATTCAGATTTTTAAAAAAGAGTCATGGAAGTATAATACAAATATAATACATTTTAAAAATTTATAATTTGCTTAAACTGATGATTGATGAATATGTAAAATAAATGTAATACTTGAATAAAATTAAATCTTTTTTCATACAGTACTTGTACAACACAATTTTTTTACATAAGTAACCTTGATTTTATTTATCATCAATATTAATTTTTTTTGTAATTTTTAAATTTGTCATTGACTTTTTAATTTTTTATTTTAGAAAAGAAAGACGTTTCTTTTGGAGTATTTATTATTTTGAGTCGTACCTAGTGACTAGTGGTGTTACGCGCTAGCTCTCTTTCACTCTACTTTTAATATTTACTATATTTATTAGCCAGCAACCCTTATTGGCGGCCAGATTTAATTAAGCAACCGTATATAATAATATACAGAAAAAAATTTGCTTTAATTTGATATATAAATTATAAATGTACGTTGTGGGTGTATAAATGTAACAAATTCATACCTGTGTATACCTGGCTGCGAAAAGGTGCGGCCAGGTGCGCAACGGCAACCATAATTTTTCAGAGTCTTTATAGATGTTGCCGTAAAGTAGACGACATTTCATTGAAAAAAAAAGTCAATGAAATTTCTTACGGATTATGAATTATTAATAATTTAATTAAAAATACTAGCGGCCACATTTTGATAGGCAACCTGGTGGATATTAATTCTCCTAATCATGAATATGTGTAAAAATTTGGTTTTCAGCAAACACTCGATGGGTACACTGATTCTGCAGCCGGATCTCGTACTATTAACTCGTCGAGTACCGTCAATACAGACACAATTATAGAACAATAGGTTGCGGTCACCGGTGACCGCTTGGTGTTTGACAGTTTAAAAACTGAAAACTCAGTTATTAACATCAATTATGATAGTCCAATAGAATGGTCTAGCATGGGTTTCCTCTACACAAACGATGGAGAGTTAGAAATAAGACTAAAAGGTTCAAATTTGTTCAAACCAGTGAGTTGTGCTGTCCAGTCTTTGCCAAATGTGTAATTTCTTAGTCAGCTCTTACGACCCAGACGGAGCAGAATAATTGGTGACAAATTAGTATATTATTCACGTGAATATACTGAGGAAAAGCTCTACTAGTTTCGAACCACAGAGGGGTTCTTCCTCATGAGCAGCGTGCGCGATCGCGGCGACGTCGCGTTCGGTCGGTTCGAAACTAGTAGAGCTTTTCTTAGTATATTCACGTGAGTAACCCGCGATTTTAGTTAATTTAGTATGTCTCACGATAGTTATTATAAAAATTTGTGTATTCTATTTTAGATACCATCACTAAACGGCGTTGTGTCGCATCACTTTATCATTCACCCATCATAGTGTTCAAATAATACACTTTACCCACAAAAACTTCCTATTTCCAGGTATGCACGTGATCCTCCAATGGATCAGCTACTTCCTCCCACTTACTCTGTCAACTGAGGGTCTTCGGTCTATGCTGCAAAGAGGTTGGAGCGTCAACAGCCCTACAGTCTACGCCGGCTTCATCTCCGTGACCACCTGGATCGCAGTCTACCTCACGACAAGTATCCTGCTCCTCAAATTCAAGAAGGGCTGAAGAGTCTACATCCAGCTGTAGTTTAGAATCAAATTGCTCAATGCTTAGGGTAGTTTCTTTGCCATAGATTTAGTTTTGGTGTGTGAGTAGTGAATGAGTAGGTTTTTAAAGGATTTGGAACTGTGTGTCTTTGTAGATGTGGTTTATTTTACATTGCTTTGGGGAAGTAGGTAGAAGACGCTGATATTTTTCTTTATAAAGTAGATGATGATGTTGACTATTTTATTTTGATACGTTAAATAGAGTTCGTAATGAAATTGTGAACAATAAGACCGCATTACATTAATAATTACGTTTACCTTATTTTATGAGGAATGTCTGAAGAGTAGTTAATGGCGACATAATATGAACTTTAGGAATTGGGCATGATTAAGTTAGGTTTAGTATTTATGTGATTTATATAGAACCTGCCTATCAGTGCCTTTAGCCAAACGCCATTTTAGCGCTTGTCTACAGAGAGAGTAGAAAACAAAATGTATGGGGTCAATTCCATATAATTTGGTTTTCTATTCTACATGTAGACAGGCGCTAAATGGCATTTGGCTACTGCTGCAGGATATATATAGAGGTCAAAAGGTAATGTAAAAATATTTTTTATTTTTGTTTATCGTTACAAAAAAGTGGAATGTTATTTTTTTATAATCTGATAGTTTTTCGAGACTTTTATTTTTTTCTACTACCTGAGACTGCTCAAATAGTAATCAACATTTGTTTAGTTATATTATGTTCTATCGCTGCGGTGCGGGTTCATTGCAAAGGGCTGGGTAAGCAGATTTGTACAATAAGTAATAATTATTTTAGAATATCCTTTCTACTACGAGGTATTACAGTAAGCACTATTAGAATAAACTTTCAAATAAATAAATCCTATATTTTTAAATTTTTAGTAGTATTAATAGTAATTGACACGCATTAGTTGTAAAATGGAGTGCTCACATACAATGACATTCGTCAGCATTTTTATAAACCAATAATTATTTTTTTTCCACAAATAACAATAATAATTATTTTGTTTACCATTATAGCCATTAAAAAGCATGTCAATAGAGTACCTTGATAAATAAACTACTAAATTATTCCATAGGTCTATAATGAACATTATTAAAGCATATTTTAGAAGAATTGAGGCCATGGACATTGTGTTTGTACGCGAACGTTGTCACGTAGACAAATAAACAGACAAACATATATTTCGATTGGAGATGATTTGTCAAATGTAGGTAGTATATTGTATAGTGGCTAATAGTGTTACACTTAAATTCCTGCTTTAAATTTTCTGCATGTACAAATGTCGATTGTTTGACATTTCAAAGTAGAATAAAAAGGTCAAATTATGCCAAAACTTTTGTCAACATTTATCGACTTTTCTATTAATCGTTTGACTAACGTTTAAATGCCATTTTCCTAGTGGCACCGGAGTTTTATAAGTCGAAAAGTCAAGTCGAACAAAAAAGATCTGTATAATAAATAATGTTTCCAATGTTATCCTAGTTTATGACTAGGTAATGAATCCAAGAGCATAATTCCCTATGAAAGGGACTTATCTATAGATACCGTCAAGTTAATCCTCTGTATAAGCTCTCAATAATATAATCTGTGGTACTTGAATCTATTTATTTAGATACGTAATTGTACAGGCAGCAGGTCAACCCTACTCTAATTGTTTTCTTTGGCTTTCGACTTTATACCAAAACGAATAAAGTTGAAAATAGAATATGGATTTTTGACAGAAAGGTATATTAACTAAAAATTGTGGGTTACTCACGTAAATATACTGAGAAAAGATCTATTAGTTTCGAACCATAGAGGGGTTTCGAATCATGAGCAGCGTGCGCGGTTGCGGCGATGTCGCGCAGCCTACTGCGCTCGCATCGGTGTTGCTACTTGCGCATTTAGCCCAACGCGCCCTCTATCGGACACCACGAGCGTTTGCTTCCAATGACGATGTTGACGCGCACGGTACGTTTACCAGCGGCGCGGGTGGTGGCCGCGGTGGAAGAACCCCTCTGTGGTTCGAAACTAGTAGAGCTTTTCCCAGTATATTCACGTGAGTAACCCGCGATTATTAGTTAATTTAATATGTCTTACAATAGTTATTATAAAAAAAGAAAGGTATTTGTTGATCTGCGGTACTGTACTAGGTAATGGTTTAATTTTATAATCGATATTAATATAACTTTGTCTATTGTAAATAGTTTCTAGTTTAATAATCTTAGGTTTTAATTTATTTAAGTTACAAACTTATGAGCTGTTTTTGTTAGACTTATCTATTTCTTTTTTGTGTGTGAAATAATTCTGGGTTTATATTTTTTCATTGAAATTGTGTACGTAATTATTTATTCTACTTTGCTTTCTTGTATTATTTTGTTTCTTCACTACATAGTATAAAACAAAGTCACTATCCGCCACCTGTCTGTCCCTATGTATGCTTCGATCTTTAAAACTACGCAACGGATTTTGATGCGGTTTTTTAAATAGATAGACAGATTCTTGAGGAAAGTTTATATGTAATACATGCATATTGGACCTATGCGAAGCCGGAACGGGTCGCTAATTTATATATAAAGGTGAAGTTTTTCTAGCTTAAATTTTAATTTTAATTAAAATTACAATGACATTGTGATAATATATTTATAAGTGATGAATAAAAACAATAGAAAAGTTGTTGTTTTGTTTTATTTATTGCTTAAAACAAAATAATCTTACATGTATGTTACTCTGGTTAGCAACATATTTTAGAGTTTTAAAAACATAAATTTATTATATAAAATATTAACAAAAATAATGTCACTTCATTAAGTAAAAACGCGGGCTACTCATGTGAGTAGCCCGCGTGGTTCGAAACTAGTAGAGCTTTTCTCAGTATATTCACGTGAGTAACCCGCGTTTTTACTTAATTTAGTATGTCTCACGATAGTTATTACAAAAACATGTCACTTCATAATTAAAATATTCATTTGAGGGCCGATTTTTAAAAACTGGCTAATGTCTATTTTGTTCTACAGTTGAGAATTAAATGATGATTGAAAAATCGGCTCTAAGGGCTGAAAATTAAACTTGATTCGACCACAGAATCGAACTTTGTCAATAATAACTTAAGTAGTTAGATATCAATTCAGGGATAGTCTGAAATTTTTAATTACGTCACTAAATATTTATCAGAGCTGGTCTCACGGTCTCATGGTCTTTCGTGCCTGCATCCGTAGACCAAAGCATATGTAGAGGTGAGTCTCAAGTTACATAAGGCTGCGTTGTTGTGGTAATTCTGTTCTGCTACTCTAGCGTGAGGATTTACAGCCACCTGAAAAATAGTATGTTTTTTAAATGCTTTTTTCATATTCTCACTTTTATAACTTAGAAAAATAAAATATAAAGCAATATGTCCTCCACCCACCACATGGCTAATTTTCCATATTAATAAATTAAAACCTTACAGAATCTGGTGATTATTCTATTGTTTGACAAAAAAAACATCTTAAGAAGATCCCTCTTCTAGACGAGGGCCGTAGTCCAACAGTTCATCTGTTATTGTTTTTAACATTTTATTTCGTTGTAAAACTATTGTATTTCCAAGCCAGAACCATTTTAGTTTTGGACGAAAACGAAATAGATTTAACATTGAATACTATAAATTGTTAAATCTGAAGGAGGGTTCATATCTCTCGGACTGTCAATGAAGAACAAGAAGAAGGGACAACTAATGGTTGAAATAATAATGGTTATGTTACGTACCTTGAAGTGGTAATCCCCAGGCCCTACATCTGTGACATCCACCCACTGGCAGTCTATGTTGTACATATACACATCTGAACAGTTTACTGAGATTCCTGGAACCAATGAACGTACCTTATAATATCTTAGCTAACCGCTTAGTGACTGGTGACAATTAGTGTTTGTGAGAAAGAGATAATTTGCAGCTGTAGCCAAAAGCCATTTAGCGCTTGTCTACATGTAGAATAGAAAACCAAATTGTATATTATACTTTAAGGTTATTTTCTTTCTTGATCACTTTGACTGGATTTTGGTGTTACATTGGTCTCGCACAATCCAAACAGCAAAACTATGTAACTAGTAAATTGTATTGTGAACCTGATTGAAAAAGAGTAACCTATGGAGTTTCTTGCTCGTTCTTCTCTATAGGAATCTACACCTCGGAATGAGCAAATAGCTTCACTTTTAATATTATTTTTATTTTGACGTTCAAAAGTGCTATTCTGGCCTAATTGAAATAAATGATTTTGACTTTGACTTTGACTTATGGAATTGACGTCATTTTGACACTTGTCAGTGTCATTCCAATACATTTTTATTTCTACTCTCTCTGTAGACAAGCCCTAAAGTGGCGTTTGGCTAAAGGCCCTGGATAGAAGAGCTAATAAACGATTTCAATACCGTGCAAATTTCTCTTAAAAAGCTTATATAATTTAGCAATGATGCATCTTCAAATATGTATGGTGTATATCAAACGCTTCACTTGCTGTTACATAGGTGTTTTTATAAAATTAAGGTAAGGTTTTGTAGTAAAATAAATGCAAAGCCTTTTTAACCATACCTTGATCACCATAGTTCTTGCAAGAGTATTGTTTCTGCACTCCATTCATGCAAGTGTTGTCTTCCAAACAGAAAGAGGCCTTGTGACCCTCAGCCACTCTGAGGCCATTGTAGTCCAGGACATCGAATGTCGCGAAGACTTCCATACTGTGATAATGCCTAAAAATATTAAAGTATAGTTTAGAAACAAGCAGAATAAGGTAGATGCCTAATTTTATTTTAATATCCGCCATCTGGTAGATTATTTTAAATCATTAGACACGTATTTTTTATTTTCTTACAGAAACGAATACTTTCGACGATATATTGATTTGAAATGTCGCGTGACGAGACGTGACGTCACTTCTATGTACATTTTATACGTAGAAATGATGTTTTAGCCCCCACTCCCAAATTTTGACTCGTTTCGTCTAAGCAATGTTTTATTATATGACAAAATAAAAAAAATACTGCCTCGTTGGCCGTGTGGTCCCAAGTGCGACTGCCGGGCAAGGGGCCTCGGGTTCGATTCCCGGGTCGGGCAAAGTATTACTGGGTTTTTAAAAAAGTCAAAGTCAAAGTCAAAGTCAAAGCATTTATTTCAATTAAACCATAGTTTGGTACTTTTGAAACGTCAACAAATACAAAATAAATAATAGTCTGTCAGTCAGTCCGTCAGTGAAGCTAGGTGAAGCTAGGTGCTCATTCCAAAACGTAGATTCGAATGGAGAAGAACGAGCAAGAAACTCCATTCGTTACTCTTTTAAAAAAGTATGTTCTACAATGTCTCTGATACATATTTCAATACTGTACGCATATGTAAGAACAATGCAAAGACACGCTTGACGCATTATACTATTAACTTACTAAAATAAAAATAATAAAGATCTTAAGTCCAACATGGTGCTCACATATGCATACTGACAATCCATAGAAATAGTGCTTCTATACAAGAAAAAGGAAACTCTTTGTTTCAATAAAGAAAGAAATGCTCGATGCCATAAGGAAACTAGATTGTCTACATTAGAATTAAAGTATTAAATTATATATTATATTACCTACTATTGGAATTTAACTACTGACTACATTTGAGTATTGTCCAGTGGAGCCGAACCAACATGCTGCCAAGCATTCTTATCTTCAAGATAATCTGTCAGTGTGTAGTAAGCTTGATTACATAATTCGCGCTTAATATATGTTTTAAATTTACTTTCATTGAGATCTAGTATGCTATTTGGTATTTTATTATAGCATTTAATACCTAACCCCATAAAGGATTTCTGTACTTTGGACAGTCTGAATTGCGGTATAGCTAACTTATTTTTGCCTCTAGTATTAAAATTGTGTCTATCGCTTCTTTTTTCAAACAATTGCCTATTTTTCCTTACATACATTATATTTTCATATATATATTGACAGGGCACCGTTAAAATATTTATCGTTTTAAACAATTCTCTCAACGATTCGCAACGGCGTAAGTTATATATTGCTCGGATAGCCCGCTTTTGCAGAATAAATATTGATTCTATTTCTGCAGCTCGACCCCACAACAAAATGCCGTACGACATAATGCTGTGGAAATAACTAAAATAGACAAGCCTAGCTGTATCCACGTCCGTGAGCTGTCTAATCTGTCTAACTGCAAAAGCAGCTGAGCTCAATCTCTCCGAAAGCGCCTTTATATGCGGACCCCATTGTAGCCTATTGTCTAACATAATGCCTAAAAATACTGTCTCGTCGACAAATTCTAACTTTTGACCGTTCAAAACAATACCACAATCGTTACTACGCACGTTTGGTAAACTGAATTTAATACATTTTGTTTTTTTTTCATTAAGTGCTAGATTATTAATGGTAAACCAATTATGCACTTGAAGAATGGAGCTGTTTACGTCGTCAAGATTATTTGTACGTCGATCTACTTTAAAAATTAATGATGTATCATCTGCAAAAAGCACCATTCTTGGTTCATTTTTAAATATAAATGGCAAATCA